ATAGAGTGAGAGGATCAAAAATTCTGTGTCTACATGATTAAACAACTTGAGCCATTCACAAATGGACATTTGGAAAATACGTAAGAATTTTATTCCACTCTTTCAATGGCCTTTTCTATTTTCTAGAAAGCCACATATGGGAGAATACATGAAAATGACTTTGAAAAAGTTACTAACGATTTTGTCTGTCTTTTACTGACTTTGCAGAAAACAAGATGAATATAGGAAGGAAAGGAAGGAGGGAGGGAGGAATGGAGGGAGGGAGGGAGGAAGGGAGGAAGGGAGGGAGGGAGGGAGGAAAGAAGGAAGGAAGGAAGGAAGGAAGGAAGGAAGGAAGGAAGGAAGGAAGGAAGGAAGGAAGGAAGGAAGGAAGGAAGGAAAAAAGGGTGAGAGAGAGAGAAGGAAAGAAAGAGAGAGGGAAGGAAGATTAAGATGGCGAGGAAGAGGCCAGATACGGTGGTTCATGCCTGTAATCCCTGCACCTTGGGAGGCTGAGGCAGGTGGAACACTTGAAGCCAAGAGTTTGAGATCAACTTTACACACATGGCAAAACCCCAGCTCTACAAAAAATACAAAAAATTTAGCCAGGCATGGTACTGCATGCCTTTAGTCCTAGCTACTCTGGAGGCTGAGGTGGGGGAATCATCTGAGCCTGGGAGATCGAGGCTGCAGTGATCTGTGATTATTGGACTGCCCTCCAGCCTGGGTGCAGAGTGAGACCATGTTCAAAAACAAAAAAGAGGAGAAGGAAGAAATGAAGGAAGCAAAGAGAGAAAGAAGGAAGATCTAGATACAGTGTATGCCAATAAACCTAAAATTACTTTGCATAATAGTCCTGTATTTATAACACATAAGGCAACAATTCATTTCAAAATAAATTTAACTAATATAGATGTCCTAAATATATGTGAAACCACATGTACATTAAACCAAGTTGCAAAACGTGGAATAATATCCAGTATTTCAATACTGATACCTACTGACATACTACAAGAGTTCCCTAACTAAAGAATTCTGATTATGATTGTCACAGTAACTAACATATTCTGGAATAATTTATCTATAAAGAGAGAACTTAAATACAGCTTTCCTATGGAAACTTTTACTGAGAAATGATTTTTATTCAGAACCCCATATATTTGACATTCATATGCAAATTTATAGCTACTGATCGAATTGTTTTCTTTGTGTTTGAGATGGAGAGCAATCCTGTCCAACTACCATACCTGCAGGTTATTAATTAACTTCACATTCACCATTATTAAAATATTTTATTACCCATGATTGAATGCGGTAATGAAAAATAACTACGTGTCACAGGCAAACATTATCAAAAGTGTGATAGGGCAATGAGGGCCACACAACCAAAGATGTAATCCATTTGTCATTGCACTGAAGAATCCAATAAAGCTAGAGACATGCAATAATATAACCAAATAACTCTTGGTTTATTTGTGGGGGAGAAGGAGAAACTGAGGAAAACGATATTATTGTAGTATTATTTATCTTTAGGTGCTCAAATAGTTCTTGCAATACTTAACTTGTGTGGAAATAGAATCTTTCATTTGTGGAAAATATAAAAAACAAAGCTAAATTTTTAAAAAGTCACATATTCTAATAAAATATGCTAAGGGAATTAGTTCTGGCCATAAGATAAATTGATCACATAAATCTCCAGAAAAGTGTACTAATAACTGCAGTAAATTCAATAAAACAAAATTAGCAGCTTTATGCCTTGGGGCACGTTCAACTTCTTTTACAGATCCCAGTTTCCAGACACCATTTTAGCTCAATGCCCTGGCTCTCTGCTAAAAAAGCACTTCGTTTTTAAGAAACCCATTTTTTTCCCAGACAAGGAATCATTTTATTAGCAATGTACAAGTGTTTTAAATTAGCATTTGGACAAATAACTAGAGAAAAATTTACCTTTACTTGCATTCCTATCATTTGTAGTTTTAAAAAACACCAAAACAAAAATAATGTTTTTAGTTCTGAGAGTAATGTTTCCATATGCATGTTCAGTAAATAAAATATTATAATGCAGATATTCTGTAAACTGTAAAGTAAAAAAATGTAAGGCAATATTGTCATTTTATTTGCAAGGAAACATTTAAGACAGAGACTTTGTAATGTAAGTTGGTCAACAAAATATTACTGTCCTAAAATAAAAGTTTTGATTGACGTTTTTAAAAACTACTCTTTTGCTGATATATTAAACCACCCAAACTGCTTTCAAAGTCAAATTTATTTTGCTCAGCAAATATCATAGTTATGTATTAGCATAATATTATTAATTTATTATTCAAAAGCTTATTTAAGTTGTTAAACACCTAATCTTTAGAATACTTGACACGTAAGATCCACATTATTTTTCTTCTAAAATAAGAATAGAATGTATGTCTTCTCACAATGCTAAAGTTGGGTTATATCAGTTCTTAAGATTCATACTGCAAAAGACTGGGACAGGAGAATTGCTTGAACCGGGGAGGCGGAGGTTGCGGTGAGCCAAGATTGAGCTATCGTAATCTAGCCTGAGCAACGGAGAGAGACTCCGTCTCAAAAACAAGGCACATACTGATGAGAAGCATACAAGTTTTTCAGAAGCCAACCAGATTCAAGACATATGTCAAATTACAGTCGTTTTTCCAATTATGTGAAGACAAATAAATTGTCACACTGTGTTAGAGAAAAGCAAATCACTTTAGTCTCCTCAGAAATACCATGTGCAGCCAAAAAATAAATTAATTAAATAAAATTTAAAAACCACCCACTCTTCTGTTAGTCCCTGTGTCTCTTGTACAGATGCTATGCTTCAGGTCCTGTGTTCTGATTGAAGTCTGGGGTGCCCAGAGTAAAAACTTTCTTATCCTTCTCTATCTCTGAGAAGCCATGATATTCATCACCCTGGAAGGAACAGATATTTCAAGGGGAAACAGTAATTTGGAAAGACGGTTTGGATAACAGAACAGGGAGTCATTTTGTTTTTCTTGAGTCTCATTCCATATGGCTTAGACCTCAGGGAGTCCAGGTAAGTCTCTTGTTTGGTGAAGGGATCAAAGACTTCACATGAAGCCAAAGACTGTGGTCGGAATATTCTCAAGTCAAGAACCTTGTTGCATGTTTTTATATTTTCTCATCTTCTCCAAACATTTAGTTTAGTCTTACTGAAATATTTTCACCTGGCCTATACTTCGTTAAAAAAGTAAGAGAGCCGGGCATGGTAGCTCACGCCTGTAATCCCAGCACTTTGGGAGGCTAAGACCGGCAGATCACCTGAGGTCAGGAGTTCAAGACAACCTGGCCAACATAGTGAAACCTCACCTCTACTAAAAATACAAAATGAGCCGGGCGTGGTGGCACACACCTGTATTCCCCATTACTCTGAGGGCTGAGACAGTAGAATTGCCTGTACCCAGGAGGCAGACAGTGTAGTGAGTTAAGATCATGCAAGTGCACTCCAGCCTGGGCAACGAGCAAAACTTCATCTCAAAAAAAAAACAGTATTAAAAGAATGTCTTCACAACCTCCTCCTCTTAGGCCAGAGGTTAAATAGAAAGAAGCAACTTTCCTGAAATCAAGATAATAGTGACAGTGGTAATATTCTTAAAAATAAATAAATGTTTTTTCAAGTCGGAGTAGTGTGGGGACATGACCAGAATCTTTCTTCTGCACAAGAAAATATTTCCTCTATTGCCAGCCTTAGAGGACCAGCATAATATGTTATTTAAAAAATCAGTGGGCTTTCTTTCAGTTGGAGAAATGAGTATTTTAAGCAGGAGATTTTTTTTTTTTCAGTTTCCAGTTGTTTGGGTTTTTGTGGCTTGTTTAGGTTTTTTATAACGTCTTCATTCTATATATCAAGCTAATAACTAGAAGAACTGAATGAGAATTTTTTCAACATTTTAGAAGCAACCTTTCATGGATTGGCTTGTGATTAGGACCTGCTTAAAAATGATATTTACAGATTCAGGACAACATCCAATCCATCAGAAAACCCTTCAGTTCTACCTTTACCATATACTTGAAAACCAGCCACTTCTCAACAGCTCCCCTGGTAAGAAAACCCTTCAGTTCTACCTTTACCATATACTTGAAATCCAGCCACTTCTCAACAGCTCCCCTGGTATTACCTGGTAATCTGCAGCAAAGGCCTCCTAACTCATTCGCCTCATTAAGCCCTTATCCCCTGCAGTCTATCTTCAGCACAGCAGCCAGAACGATCATTTAAGTATAAGCCACATCATGCCGCTCTGATGAAATACCCAGAAATGTTTTTTCACATTAATCCTGGCAAACTCCTTTTGTGGCCTCAGAGAATATGTAATCTACACTCCTCTCCCCACGTTTTACATCTCCGAATCCCTTCCCCTACTCTCTTGATGACTTTATTCACTCGTCTCCAGCCACCATGACCTCTGCATACTTGCCCCAATAGCAAATGTGCTTCCAGCAGCATGCATTTTGTACTAATTGTTCCTTCTGCCTAGGGAAAAAAAACCCTCTTCTCCAATGTATCTGTAAAGCTTCTTCAAATTTTTGATTATAAAATTCTTCCTTCAAATTTTTGATCGTCACCTTAACGAAGCTTACCCCAACCAAAGTACTTAAAAGTGCAACTCTCCTTACCCACATCCAAACTCCCTAACTTGCTCTAATTTTCTAAGTTATGTGTATTTTTCTAATATGCAGTATAGCTTACTTATATATTATGCTCAGTTTTATCACCTATGATCTCTATTCCCCACTATAAGTTCATGAGTGAAGACATTTTTGTTTTGTTTACAACTACATCTAAAGCATCTGGAACAGTGTCAAAAACATAACAAACACTCAGTAAATTATTACTTAAAAAAAACCATAGAAGCAGCAGATACAAGACCACTATAATCCTAACAAGGAATTCCACAACTGCTGCATAGAGGAGGTGGTCTCATTCATTATTTTAATCCATATTAATCGAGCCTTACTAGGAACCCGACAGTGCTGGGAATATAATGAAGGACTCACCCAAGCTGGGTCTGCTCATGGTGCTTCTTAGCATCATCTTCATGAATGGAAATCGGTCCAGTGAGGCTGTCATCTGGGAGGTGCTGCGCAAGTTGGGGCTGCGCCCTGGGATACATCATTCACTCTTTGGGGATGTGAAGAAATTCATCACTGACGAGTTTGTAAAGCAGAAGTACCTGGACTATGCCAGAGTCCCCAGTAGTAATCCCCCTGAATATGAGTTCTACTGGGGCCTGCGCTCTTACTATGAGACCAGCAAGATGAAAGTCCTCAAGTTTGCCTGCAAGGTACAAAAGAAGGATCCCAAGGAATGGGCAGCTCAGTACCGAGAGGTGATGGAAGCGGATTTGAAGGCTGCAGCTGAGGCTGCAGCTGAAGCCAAGGCGAGAGCCGAGATTAGAGCTCGAATGGGCATTGGGCTCGGCGCGGAGAACGCTGCTGGGCCCTGCAACTGGGATGATGCTGATATTGGACCCTGGGCCAAAGCCCGGATCCAGGCGGGAGCGGAAGCTAAAGCCAAAGGCCAAGAGAGTGGCAGTGCCAGCACCGGTACCAGTACCAGTACCAATAACAGTGCCAGTGCCAGCACCAGTGGTGGCTTCAGTACTGGTACCAGCCTGACCGCCACTCTCACATTTGGGCTCTTCGCTGGCCTTGGTGGAGCTGGTGCCAGCACCAGTGGCAGCTCTGGTGCCTGTGGTTTCTCCTACAAGTGAGATTTCAGATATTGTTAATCCTGCCAGTCTTTCTCTTCAAGCCAGGGTGCACCCTCAGAATCCTACTCAACACAGCACTCTAGGCAGCCACTATCAATCAACTGAAGTTGACAGTCTGCATTAAATCTATTTGCCAAAAAAAAAAAAGCTAACATGGTCCCTAACTACATACGCCCATGCAGGAGACACAACAAAATTAAAACATCTGAAAAGTAAGCTTAATTTGTTATAATACAGCCATAGGCAGGTATACCAGTGCTCAAGGGAGGTTTGACTTAGGGAAGAATGCCAAACAGGCTTACCTAAGGAAGTTACAACTGAGCTGAATTCTGACTATACCAGTTTCACCTGGAGCTCACCAACGTGAAAAATACCATTTTTAAAAGTTGCTAATTATTTTTAAAGAACATTTTGTCATTTCGTATACAAAATATGCCTTTGTGCTAATTGTTCCTTTAATTATTTTTAAAGAACATTTTGTCATTTCGTATACAAAATATGCCTTTGTACTAATTGTTCCTTCTGGATATTGAAAAAATCATAAGCTATAAAATAATTAAAATTGGGCTATATAAGACAACACAGTATAATCAATCAGCATAATCATAACCTCTTACAATATCAGATTTAACAGGCAAATTAATAGATTATCGTAAACTGATATAAAATAGGCTCTAATGGTTAGAAACATTAATTTCATGTTGAAGGAACTATCACAAACCAGTGGAGAAAGAATGCAGTAAACAATGAATAGTGTCAGTGCCATAAACCAAAGTCAGTTTCAAATAGATGCAAAAGTGAATATTTCAATAAATTATTTAAAATATTTAAAATTTAAATAATTTATTGAAATATTCACTTTTGCATCTATTTGAAACTGACTTAAAGAAATATTTACTTTATTGCTAATTTGAAAGCAATTTGTTAATCATTTAAAAACAAAAGCTATTATTAGGAAAAATGTTGATAGATCTGATAAAAGATAATTAAACCTGAATGTCAAAAAGAACATAAATTAACATAATTTTTGTAATTGTAGGTTATTTTTTAATGCCAAGGTTAATGTTGTATTCTCTCTCTCTCTCTCACACACACACAGGCACACACACACACTCTTAAATGTGAAAAATTGGGAAATCTAATAATGAATCAGCAATTAAATAGAAAAAAATAACAAAATATAGTTGTTTAATGAATATATATAAAGTATTCCATTTCTGTAGTTACTACAGCAATTGAAGAAAAACTTGCTTTAACATGTGGAAAATATTTTTTAAATGTGATTTTGTGTTGATAAGTTGGTACAGAGTGTAAGTTTGTTTGAACATCTGGAAAGCATTCAACAGTTTGTATCAAAATACTTACAAATCCCTATATAATTTGACTTAATTATTCTTATTCTGATATCTTTCCTAAGTATATCATCACACATTTGGACATAAAAATATGTTAAAAATATCTTCATTATAATCTTGTGTATAGAAGAAGATCATGTAAATAAGTCAAAATCTCAATTATCAGAAAATAGTTAATTATGGCACATCTATATAAAAGACTATTTCAGTCAGTATAAACAGATGTTTGAAGGATTTTCATGACATGAGAAAATTTTTACACTAGAATATCAAGCTGGAAAATCACTATTTTCTTTTTCTGAGATGGAGTCTCCCTCTGTTGCTGGAGTGCAATGGCGTGATGTTGGCTCACTGCAACCTCTGCCTCTGGGTTCAAGTGATTCTCCTGCCTCAACCTCCCAAGTAGCTGGGATTACAGATATGTGCCACCATGCCCAGCTAATTTTTGCATTTTTAGCCGAGACAGGGTTTTGCCATATCCAGCATGTCTGCCATGTCCAGCAGAGACAGGGTTTTGCCATGTCTCTTAACTCCTGAGATCAAGCAATCTGGCCGTCTTGGCCTCCCAAAGTGCTGGGATTACAAGCATGAGCCACTGCGGCTGGCCTAGAAATCCTTATTTTAATTGTACTTAGAATTTGATCAATATTTGGGCATAAAAAAATACTAACAGAAAATATACAAAATGCAGATATGCTACGATGGCTATATTTTGTGAGTATAAAGGTTTTTTTAAATTTCTACTTAATTTGTTCCCCATTTTCTAAAACTGGCCTCTATTCCTGTTATAAGCATGTACACTATAACTGAACATCGCTTCTGTGAAAGCCATTTTCTTATGCCAATCGCATAAAACATATTCACGTTTTCTTATTTTCTGCTGGTTTACAATTATTAAAACGTGACTCCGGGATGCAGAATTACTTTAAATTTTATTTAAATGACAAAGCAAGTATTTTGCCACTACAAATATTACAATAAAATTGATATTTTGTGTTGGAGAATTTACTGTCGACATGGATGAGTTTTGTGATTTATAAATAATAATTTTAGAGCCATTAGTACATTCAATAAACTATTTTGATAGTTAATTTCTTCCTCCAACTCTATCAAGTAAAAGATGTTCAAAATAACAAGTCTAACCAAAGTAGTATTTACTGTTTTAAACTTTACACCTCTATAAGTCACCAATTTGTTGGGATACATTTAGTAAATTAATGCAAATTTGAATTATAAATGAAACTTATGAATTTAAAAGAACATTTAAATTACAGATATACAGATCTACACAAGACAAAACTACTTTATAAGTAGCAAGAGAGGTGAACGTAATACTAATTAATTTGCTCACATTCGAATGCAAATTAAAACTAGAGATTCTTTGCATCACTGTTTTTGTTTTATCTAGCAAGATCAGACTGATGTGAAATAAGCATCGTTCTTTTGAAATGTGATACTACTTTTGAAAAACAAATATTGCAATAGTAAATTATATAGAACACTTTGGTGAAATCGCGTGTGAGGTTATCTTTCCTGTTCCCGTATGCCCCTTTTCCTCAAAAATCCAAATATTTTACTCTTTGATCAAGTTCACACACATTAAAATGAAGGTAATCATTCAGTTCAAATATCCTCCCCTTCTCCTCAGCCATTAACGCTTTTCCTTATAATGTTTTCGCTTGCACAACAGCAAAATGATTGAAAGAGCATCAGCTGCCTCTTCTAATCTAAATTTTAGTTCCCTAATTGCTAGTTAGAAGCCTTCCTTTGATATTTTTTAAGAATCTGTTTCATGGAAGTAAATTTGTAAGCACAATTTTTTATGCATTACAGTCTTTTGAAAGATTGATTCCACAGACCACATTTCTTTATTCTCATCTATGCTAGTTTAGAAACTGGCCATTTAATTTTTTTTTATTTACAGTATATATTGGTACAAGTTAGTTAGGTTTGCCCATCTCATTTTTATTCCAAATCTATTTCCCCTGAATAGTCAAAACTACTGGAGTGAAACATTTATTACTCCCTATTTTTGTTAGTTCTCAATCCTGTAGTTATGCACCACTTCTTTGGATTTCTCTCATTAAGATTAATACACATATATGTTTTCATCTTATAAATACGTTTCATGTCATATCCTATTGGAATAGCTAGGTGATATTCATAAATTAATTTATTATTTTTATCTTCACAGTGCTTTTGTTCCCTTGTTTTTCTCTCTTTCTCTGACTTAACTCAGCATCTTCAAAATGCAGAAATGATTGGATTTTCATTAATTCTGTGAAATAGGTTCATACACATTACAATGAGCAGCTATCACTTAGAAAATGTCAGTAACCTTAGAAGTCACACCATGCTGATTCGCTTTCAGTGAAGCATGGAAAAAACTATTCCTCCAGATTTCTCAGCTATGCGTATTGGGAACATTCAAAAACAATTAAGCTTTTGAATGTGGACAAGAGCCATGAGGAGTATGGGAAGTGCACTGTGTTGGAAGTAGAAGCTGCTTCTAAACATGGCTTTGATCAGCCCCGTGAGCCTTGATAGGTCAGTAACGTTCCCCGGACCTCTGTTTCATCTGTGAAAACAACATTTGGTCCCAATTTCACACTTTCTATTGTCAAAGAAATATACTTAAAAATAAAATCTTCTCCCAATCTAGAAAATTGCTCCAATAAGATAGAAAACATAATTTTATTATTGAAAAGCATTAAACCAGGATGTGATGTACATTACAATAATTGCTAACAGATTGCAAAAACAGAATGAAATCTCATTTGATATAGCCAAGCAGATACAAACAAGTTACATACATGTTCTCGAGTTAAACAGTAACTAATCCTCAAATTAAAGAAGTTGACAACCCCATTGTGACATATGTGACAACACATAGTTTCTCCTGGATTCTTGGTCCTTGGGCTGCCCATATGTGTTTGCTGATTGGATTTATCCAAAGGAAAAATAAACTTCTCATATCTTTATGAAAAGTGGTAGTTTTCAACATGGAGTGAGATGCCCACTGATGTTAGGTTCTTACCCTCCCACAGAAACTGGGAGGTTGGGGTATTTTTGTAACTGGAGACTTCAGCTTTAAAAATATATTTTTTGACCACCTATTCTCTTTTCTTCCTTTCCTTCCCTCACCCCTTTACTCCTTACCTCTCTAGACACTCCCCTCCAGCAATGCACACTCACTTATTTTCTTCCTTAAGAAGCTCAAAAGACCAATCTTTTGAAACAAGGCACGGAGCCCTAATTGTATAATTCCCTTCAGGAGGAGTGGTGAACAATAAATCCACCATCATTGGGCTAAAGTCAAGATAATGCCAACCAGCTCCTCAGATGGATGAGTACTCAAAATAGCCATCAGAAAGATACACTCAGACCTTGCCCTCTGCAGCACTCCCGCAGGTCTCCCATATCCAGTCTCCCTTTTAAAACCTTATGATAAACTTTAAAATTTGAGATGGTCTTTGTGACTTGAGTTCAGCATCTTCACAAGCACTCTGGCATTTGATTCAAGCCAGTTTTCCCCTCCACCAAACCTTGTCTCAAGACTGGCTTTTAATGGTGGGCTGCTGGGCGTAGGTCCAGTTACACTTTCTTCCTTAAGGATGATTACATTTTCAAGAGATGGTTCTCAGATCTTTGAGAAGAACATTCCTGGGTCCTGAAGCTGCCAGGGCTTCTTTAGCTTTTCAAAATTGAAATACATTTTTAAAGAAAGAGAAAGAATATAAAAGTTGTCTAAATTAAATTATCTGAGAAAAAAAAAGAGTGGGAAGAAGTCTT